TAAGTTATGTTGTCTTTACAACCGCATGCACTCTTGATAGCGCAAAACGACAAGTAATAACACAAACATATTGATGACTTTCAAAGTCCATCATAAAAAGATAGAGGAAAACATAAGGAAACTATTTAATGACCACCTTTCAAATAGGCCGATTTTGTGAAAAATACTGAAACAAAAGGATTAATACCCTTCCTCAGCATCTACGAAATACAGGTTTAAGAAATGATTGTATATTCATAATGCTGATGGACCAACTAACTTTGCACTAATATGGTGAAACCAGATTATTTTTCCGGAGGGTGTTTGAGGATTACCAATTAATCCGTTAACAAAGTTTAGTTAAATATTTGTATGCACTAGTCAATGCAAGAATCACCTGTGAAATTCCTAATACAATAAGTGGTATGGAACTCACCAGGCAAGAAAATAACATAGATTGTACAGGGAGCCATCAGAACTTTCAAAGCTTAAGTGTTGGAGAATGCATTCAACGCAAGCCATTAAAATGGCCGCACTACTTCAGCCGTAGGAAAAGACATGCTAACTCACCAGGGGCAGATCGCTCCACCTCAAGTAGGCAGGATTCAGCTGTGGTGAGGTCTGTTCAAATGTGACATCGGGTGTAGCAGTAGGTTCGATGGTGCGACGAAGAGTGCCGCTACACTCTGAGACCGACGACGAAGGCTGTCGTTGCTGATGTGTCGAAGTAGAGGGCAACAGCCCTGCCTCTTCGTCACCGGAACTATCCACAGTGAAGGCCTCATTTCGCTGCCCACCTGCAGCCATCGTAGTCGAAGATGGTCGGCCGACGGGCGATGTGGCTTCACCACTTTGATAGCCCGAAGAGGGTGAGGAAGGCAAACAGGACTCCGTCCACCGGTTTTCCTTAATCAGATGTGCCAGTTCAATTATGTACTTCCCCTCCTTGTAGCGCTGACTGACTTCAAAAGCGCGCTCGTACTTCCATCCAAGGAGAGAATTGCAACCGGCGCAGTGTAAGTCGGCCACCCGGTGTTGACCAGTTAGCAAAAGACGATCCTCCGCACTCGCTGACTTAACATTAACTACCTATAAACGTAATACATATGAGCAAAACAAGTTGTTTAGGGGTTTTTTTAGAAAGGTAGGGACGTCAAACCTTGTCAAAGAGATAGGCACGCCCTTGACTGCCTTGGAATGCCTTGCTGATGAGATCATTATGATCAGCAAGATGTGCACGACAATGGACGCAGCTGTAAGTAATTGAAGAGACTGATGGATTAAGGTACACTTGAAACTGTCGAGTCATTTTCTACCCAATTGGAAAAACAACATATGATTCCATGTAGAGCGGTATTAGCGTTAACTGCTTAAACAAAAACAAATTTTCTTTGTGTTGCTAAAATAAGACCTCACTAGGTAAAGAATCCAAACTTTTAAAGCTAATATTCATTTTTCATCGCTACTAATACAACTATCTAAGTCTTTGATCCGTATTTTTAAATGACAAGTAAATAACTTAATTTATTGTTAATCTAGTTCTATCTTAAGCTTTTGGTATGATAATAGTACCCAAAGACTTTAATTTGATCAAAAAAGGTGGTAAGTGAAGCTGAATGCACGTAAATGTAGGGGAACAAAGTAATTAGACCTGAGCATGGCTCGAAGGCCAGCGCACGTGTGCATGGGCCGAATGAATCTTAAAGTAACCACCAGACATCAGATGGTTGCATAAACAAAGCAATGCAGCGAATTTGTTGCATGTCGATTATTACATGGTTACGCGTATTATAGCTGACTAACTTAGCATTTCCTTGTGTTCATGCATACTTTTGATGATATGTAAAACCCCCGATTGAATTTACAAATATAGTGCCCCATGACTTTCCACTGGGTAGTAAAAGATATTAAGTTGAGCTGAATACATATATTTTAGGAGGATAGTGTAATGCCTTGCGTATGTGTCCACTTGATGTCTGGCGCTTACTTTAAGATTTACCTGGCCCCTGGGCGCCTGGGTTGGCTTTCAGACTAAGCTCATACTTCTTCTTCTTGTTCTCCCCAAAAATACATGTATTCAGTTCCGCTTTATGTATGCTACTCGATAGAAAGTCTTGAGGCGCTGCAGAGAAGAAGGGATTTTTATCCGGGTTGGCCTGATAGCCAGCCAAACATGTGGGGGGTTAAACAAAGAGAGTACTACAGGTAGTTCACTGAATTTGCAGTACTATTGAGGAACCTCCATTAAAGCTACGCTTAAATGATTAAAGTTTTACGGCGCGCCTCAGAGGCTGGCTTGCTAGACAAAGGCGATGTATTCACTAAAGTTACCACAACAAATTTTGTTAATCAAACATATGAATTATTACAATGGCCTTGCAATACCTGTAGCTTCCCACGACCACTCGCAGGGTGTAAGAAGACAGTAGGTGATGTTGGATACATGTATTCCATGTGGGACAAGGCAACGGAGCCTAAGCATGGCCCGAAGGCCAGACCACGTTAAAAGGGCCAGACAAATCCTAAAGTAACAGCCAAACGTCAGGTAGTCACATAAACAAAGCATTACAATACCTTATCATAAATGAATACCTGTTTGGCTGGTGACCACCTTAAAATTTCATCTTGCCCTTGCTTGCACATGTTGGCTTTAGGGAGGGGTTAAAGCCCGAACTTTAAGTGCATGTATTTCACCTCTCCTCATCACCTCTATTATCAGCTTGGAATTCTTATGACGGTTAAACTCCTCTCCTCTTTAAAATAAGGTTATTCGGGTTTTGTTCCATCAATGTTTATCTTGTGGGTGTTATAAAATTTCACCTAAGGTTCAACGCTCTGTGCCATCATTTCCTATCCATCCGAAGGAAAGTTCGTGTCTTCCTTGTTAGTGTACCCTTTTGGCTTTCTTTGAGCTTGAGGAAAGGATACAATAAATTATGAACTCTACTTATCGTGTTGTGGTAACTTTAGTGAATACATCGCCTTTGTCTAGCACCTATACGCGGATGTAGTGCAGAGACTTCCGGGACAAAAATTTTCCACCTGGTTGGCGGCATTGTTGCTTCACTTGTTAATTTCTTGTCTACAGACCACAGGGACAAGGTGAAGGCAAACGCAGACACCAATGCAGCGCCCCTTTAATAATTACTTACGGAAAAGATTGTGTTTGTTAAGCCCCTAGATAAGGCGCGTCGTATCTTTACTGATAAGTTGTAAGTAGAATATGTGAGGCGCTTAACTCTTACAGGTAACTGTTGGAGGCAAAATGGATGACATGCCTGGAGCTGTCGGCTAAACTCGGGTAGTCAGATTTTCGGACACACACCCATCTGCCTACTGATGCTGATTTAGCTATCCTGAAATCACCTTCCTCAATCTTCAAGGAGTTCTCGCATGCGTA